ATGTTGTATGAATACAAATACAGACTACAGACGAAATTGGAGTAACGTTAGCTATGTTAGACTGTTGACTTATAGGACTGTGTTCGTTTAATTTTTTGAACTTTATTAGTATTAAATGTTTTGAATGAGCACCTTTAAATATATTAAAACCTTTATACTTCACAGTAACACTTAAATATTTATGAATGTGATCAGTCTATGGTTGCAGTAGTCTAAACTCGCCTACGGCAGTCGCCCGACAGGCGTCAACTCACTAGTCGAGCAAACGCTCTGCGACGTACGTCATCGATGCTCGAGGTTAAGACAACTCCGACTACCGAGCAACGAGAGGCAGACAACTCACCAGTCAAGCAATCGCTCTGCGATATCGATGCTCGAGGAGTAGACATCGCTTTGCAAAACGCAGACTCAAGAGTTGCATAGCATTTACCTAGTGCCGACTGATATTAGTTGTAAGCCAACTCACCACCTGAGTAGTCTACCAGCCGACGGCTAGGTTCCATCTGATTTATCAAAACATTTGCGATGAAACCAATTTCGACAGACGTCACAGATGAGTCCCTCCTGCTTCATGGAAACACTGTATAAGTATAAGTTTATTTAGACTCCATAATCGGCATAACAATACATTTGACAGATAAATATTTCTTTGGATGTCTTGAAGCTTTCAAGGAATAATCCACTAGATAGTGAAAGATTAAATATATATGTCAGAATATCAATAGTACGTTCTGAAACATATTTCAATATTTTGAATGGAATACCATCGATTCCAAAACTTGACTTGGGCTTCATTTCGCGTATGATATTTTTTATTTCTAATGATGTAGTTGGCCTTAAGAACATGGATGAGGATTCTTGCTTCCCAAGATATGAAATGTAATTTTTGTCACAGCCAGCTGGTTGTGGCATACAGTCGAGCAGGCTTTGTGCCACTTGGGAAAAGTGTTTATTAAATTTATTTGCAATTTGTGTATTACTGCAATCAAGTCCAATCAAAGGACAAGAATTTGTTTTATTTTTACCAATAAGTTCATTGTTTTCCACACTGCCTTGATGTTGCCTTTGTGAGAAGCAAATTTAGATTTGTAATAATTTGATTGCTTTTTGTGGAGCAATCGAGTATAAAGGTTTCTGCATTCATTGAACTGTAATTTGTGCTTGTCATTTGTGTTTTTATTGTTTATTAATTTCTTATAAAGTTTTTGGTACCCTAGGTATTGGGCTGATTCCCGAGCATTCGGAATCAAGAGTAATCTGCCAGTCGACGGCTTCTAGGTTCAATCTGCTGGGATGGAACAACTGGGTTGGAGTCGTGATGGGTGTCCTGGGCCTGGTAGCAGTCAAGGCACTCACACTCAAACGTAACGTCCTGTTTTTTAATAGTCTTTACTGTTCCTTTGTCATTGCCACATCTGAATTATTGAAACATTTGCGATGGAACCAATTTTGACAGACGCTGAAAAGCACAGTCGCTTCCTCCTGCAACAAAAGAAAAATTTGTAACATACAATACAGGGTGATGGAATAGCCTACTGTGTAATTAGTACGGACTTACCAGTTCCATTCGCGTTGGTGCGATAACTGTGTATGAGTAGCCACCCCTCTCTTAAAGCTTCGCTTTCCCTCTTTGGGCCATGTCGTCCTCGATGGTGAATGACGTTTCTTCGACGCAGCAATTCTCTCGGGTTAGTAGCCTCAATTAAATATTCATTAACCCCAAATGGAATAATTTATTAAAAATGTTAGTTTATTCTAGTCTAGATAGGTCAACAAATAATCCATAGAAATAGTCAACTCACCCTAGTTATCGGGCAGATTTTCGAGCATTATCTAATCTCCGTGCATCTGATCTAATCTGATGCACGGAGATTATATAAGTTGCCAGATCGGTGATAATTATTTGTAGACTCTCTTCTCGTAGGTGTTCAAGAATCTACGGGCCGCAGTATTGCAAAGAGTAAGTATGTAACGCAACAAACTTCCCCGTAACGCTCAGTACTCAAATAAAATTCATTATTCGTAACAAAAAGTAGACAAAATCTTTTATCCATTGAATTTCCCCACAACGTTTAGTATTCAAATGAAATTCATTATTCGTTACAAAAAGTAAACAAAATCCGTTGTCCATTCTTCGATTCATTTTTCTTCCAGGCGTAGCGACAGCGCGAAACCTTGTCGTGGTGGGTTGGCTTACAACTAATATCAGTCGGCACTAAGTAAATGCTATACAAGTAGAACTTTCGTTCGAACGTGCGTTTTGCAAAGCAATCGCTCTATAGTCGGGTTGTATTCTCCTCGAGCATCGATAACGCAGAGCGATTGCTCGACTGGTGAGTTGTCTGCCTGTCGATCGACTGCCGTAGGCGAGTTTAGACTACTGCAACCATAGACTGATCACATTCATAAATATTTAAGTGTTACTGTGAAGTATAAAGGTTTTAATATATTTAAAGGTGCTCATTCAAAACATTTAATACTAATAAAGTTCAAAAAATTAAACGAACACAGTCCTATAAGTCAACAGTCTAACTTCGCTAACGTTACTCCAATTTCGTCTGTAGACTGTATTTGTATTCATACAACATGATCAAAATAAGCCACTTATACAAATAAAAATGCTCTCTAGAGCATATTTATGTATTTTTCTCAACATTTGAGCACTAAAAATATCAAAAACGCATTTCTATAGACCTAAAACACTACCGTAGAAAATGCCAAAAGACGGACAACTCACCAGGCCTCTAGGTAGTCGAGTTGTCTCTGGTGAGTTGTCCGTGTAGTCGAGTTGTCCGCCTCCCCTACCAGGTACTGCAGTACTGGTAGCCGGACATCCTATCTAATATAGTCAGCATATTATATATAGAACGGTACCGTATTTTATACCTTCGAAAAAGATATTACGAGTTCCACCTGATCCAGTACACTCCAGGTGCAACATTGGCCCTGAAGCAACAGCTCAAACTCGCGAATGAAAAGCGAAACCGCCGCGTCCCCCAAGAGTGAGGTAAAAACACCATGCATGAATGAGTCTAGTACAGTACAGGCAGACAGGTAATGTCTGAATGTATCATCAAATTCAGGATCTGATTCGGGGATTTAAACTCGGCAGCTCTGTCTGTCATACATCAACACATGGTAGTTCCCTGAATAGTCACCCGCTAAGGGAAACACACTTATAACATATATCTAACGTATAGAAATGATAGACTTACATTTGTTAGCCATAGCCATCGATTATATAATAACTACAGCCCGTGAGTGAGTCCGATGCGACCAACAGATATGGTGAAACCGCAGCAAAACGCTGGGAACTCGAGTGGGCGTTAACGAATCAAGTTGCCGCAATGGAGCGTATCGCGTCAGACACTCTTCATTGGTCAAGGCTTTAGTTGCGCATCATGTTTAACCAAAGCCCATATATACCGCAAGGCAAGTTGGTTGCCGGCATTTGGGTCTGGCAACCCTGGGTCTCATTTTCGGGGAAACACGGTAGGAGTCCAGCAATCCTCTCGGACATAATTATTCTTCACGCGATTCGAATCCATGCACGATAATCAGAGGTGCTGTGGCAAGCGTATTTCTAATGTTTAGCATGATGCTGCACCACACCGCCGATTCTAAGCTGAATACGATAAACCGATGAAATGTGTAAAAATGAGATTCTTGTCAAAATTCGTAGATAGCGCAGAAGCGCCAAGACATCAAGTACCAACACAATCGGCGTTAGAGGGCTATCAATTTCGTCTAATATTCCAATGGCCCTGTCGCATAGGCCTACCCTACCGGTAGGATAGGATAGGATTTACATATTTATCCCGGGGGAGAGGAAAGCCGATAAGACGGCTTATCCATATGGCGAACCACGGCCTCTCGTCCGGTTACCATTCCAAGTCGGGTATGGGATTAGTTTTACTGTATTGTTTGTTTTCGGAAGCATGGACTTGGTGGTGGAGGAAGCCGTAACCGACCAGCGGTTACGTGAACCACCCAACGACGGTGGGGAGTCCAGCAATCCTCTCGCACATAACCATCCCTGCATGGGATTCGAACCTGCGAACCCAGGCAGAGTAATTAGAGGTGCGGTGGCGAGCGTATTCCTAACGCTTAGCCCGTTGAGCCACACCGCCGCGCCATGTTTTTGAATTGTGCCTTCCTCCCGATCCTCTTCTTGTTAACGTTATGTTCATGTTCGGTCTTGGGGATTTTCAATATAACCCAGTACATGACGTTTTTACATTGGAAATAAAATAAATAAGATTAGGCAGACATACGGTACCGGTACTTGCTGCAATTTCACGAGCTGCTGTTTTTTTACTGCTGAACCGAGTTTAGCGAATGTGAGTGATTTTTTTGGTATTTCAATAGAAAATCAGGCAAGGATGAGGAAAAAGAGTTGATATTGCCTGTGTTCTCTAGGGGGATGGACTAAAAATAGGCACTTAGAAATTAGGCAATTTAGACTATAACAATTAATTATTCTTGAATACTACTACTACACTCAAGTGCATTCGTTGGATATTTACCTAGGCTAATTAGTGTGATTTTTATTTCTCGGTCTTATATTGGTGATAATTCACAACTTTCTTCATTTTCGAAGGGCCTAAACAAGTGCCTAGCATATGTGGTGACAGAGCGCGAGAGACCCCTCTAATACTACGTTATAAATATTATCATTGGGTTTACTTGTTGCACTTTGCGTGTTCAACATTTTATTTGACAAATTTTAATTAATTCATTATCATTTTGAAAGTTTCTTTTACCTAAATAGGGTCTAAAAAAGTGCCTAATTTGCAAGTGCCTACTTTTAGTCCGTCTCTTCTCTAGGTCGACATGTTACAAACTTTAAAAGGCATGAAGTACACATTAAGTTATTAAATATCACCATTTTTTTTGTGTAAGTGCTTTATGAGTTTTTTCCCTTTGTAACAAAAATCTTGCTGCTATCTTATTCGTTAATTGTTGTTGATTAGTTCACTAATCTAATTTGTAAATATATATTAGACTCCTTCAATCTATACTCTGATATAAAACAATTATATTAATCAGAAGTTATATATGTTCAATTTGGAAACTTCTATTATTTTGCGTCGCACGAACAAAAAGTCTGGGAACCCATGAGTTGATGGATAGACGCTATCGCTTGATTAGTGATGAAATACAGTCTCATCTTCCTATTTTTGCATTATACAGGTTTTTCTTAATATTAAACCATGGGCCGTAAAACTTCCATTGTTTGGAATCATTTCACAATACCTGAACTCTATCCTAAAAAGGCTCTGTGCAATTATTGTCATCAATTAGTATGCCGGGGGCAGGCCAATTTGGGTACAACTTCTCTCATGAATCATCTGAAACGATGCAATGAGTTCAAAGTTGCGGTTTTGGGTCTACCAATGGGTAGTGGGTTAAATGATATGATGGCAGACATTATGGCACAAGATGGCCAAAACAATTCACTCTCTATGAGAGAGAATAATGAAGAAGTACTACACATTGAACCTCAACCAGTATCTGATGAAGAAAATTCATCCTCAGCTCCGACTACCACAGACAATAATGTTAACAATTTACTGCGAGCCAGTCCTGCTCAAATTAATGCTTTTGTGCGACGGATGAGTAATTCACCATCTTTAGTTGGACGACAAAATTGGACCTCTAGTTCCACAAGCCGAGAAAATACACAGCCTGCCACTCATAATTACCAAAGTCCGAAAAGTGGTCGTCGTTCAATGTTATTGTATGGAGATATTTCTTCAACTTCAGAAGAAGAACCTTCATCAAGTAATGCATGTTATTCTGAGAATCCTCTTATCACGTCATCATCAAATGATCTAAATAATTATATTGCTGGGGAATCAACAGTGAATTTTGTTCATGGGGGACTTGTACTCCATATGTTGTATGAGCAATATAAAACTGGGAAATTTTGTGATTTGCATATCATTCCACAAAAATCTGTTAATGAAGTGACAATATTAGAATCTGGAAAAGTATCACATAAGAATTTATCAACAGATAAAAAATGTAAAAAAATTAGCGTTCATTCATGTCTGCTCACTGCAATGTCAAAAAAAATTAGCACTCTTGTTGAGATGGGTTGCACATCTGTAAAATTACGAAAGGGAAGTAGTGACGCAGTAAAGGGGGTAATTGAAATAGTCTACACTGGGAAGTTGGAAAAAATAAGAGTTTATACTGAGGCACAACTTACAGAAATACTTGACGTGGCTAGATTTCTGGAAGTCGACTTGGTCGTACAATACCTCATGCGTGAAATACCAGAATGTAAAACAAGACAAAAACCAAAACACATAGCACAACGGGAGTTATATAACGAAGCAATGCTTGCATTTTCACATATACAACGCGGCTACAGTTTTCCCAGTTCTACATCAAACATAAATCATATGAATACCGCTGGTAATGCTGCTTTTAATGAAGCATTCCTGGCCCTTCAGCGTGATGAGATGCGTCATGAACAAGAATCCCAAGATGGGTCACGATCTCATTCAGCAAGTGATACAGAGGGCAACGATTATGATAAATCAAAACACGTAAAATCTAGATCCCAGCCTTCCAGAAGATCATCGCAAAAATCTAGTAAGGATTCTAACCATCAACGTATGGTTGATATCATGGATCGTGTTTCTGAACAAGTACCTGTGAAGCGCCCAAAAAGAGAATATCATGATGGTGAAAATAGCTATCCTTCATTATCACCACCACCCATGGACAAGGATTCGGTAAATTCCCCCATACAAGATTCAAACGAGCCATTGGAATCATTAGATACTTCAGATTCATCAGCCCAGGCATTTGAGCAGCGAAAATCTTCAAGTCCAAGTGAACATTTTGAGAGCAAGATACGATACAAATTTCACCCTCTTCGGAGTCCCGATGACAATTCATAATAGCCAAATCAGGGATATATTTTACAAAGAAATATTTATTTATTCAAGTGATCGGTAATGTTAAACACTTCAATCGTGCAGGTGTAATTTGGGAAGAAAATATATAGATTAATGGCATTATGTCAAAATAATTTTTACTAAATGAAATGTTATTAAAAGTGCTAATGAAATAATATGGAAAAGTTGTGTTAGTATTCTGGATAGATACTGCTGGTTCATTGTAATGGTCTTTGTTTTCATGTTGGTCAAAATTTTATGTATTCCAGACAACCTTTAAATTTTCAAAAGATTACAGAAAATAAAACATGGAGCCAACAACCTTAGTTAAAAATTACTTGAAGATTCATGTAGTTCTGGGATGTGCAATCTTTAATACAGGGGGGGCCAGATCGAAATAACTGGGTGAAACTTTGGGCCGCACATGTATTTAACATAGGCTTTCTAGTAGTTGCATGCACAAAAATTTTAGTTATTGATCTTATGACATGCGTTGTTCACTTCGCACAAGCTCAGGCATAGTCTTTGCAACGCAAAGGAATTACTCACACATATCAGATTAAACAAAATTAAAAACTCCTTCCGTGGGCGACACGCCATTCAAAGTTTGCACTTATCTGTGGGCCGCACAATTTTTCCTGTCGGCCGCAGGTTGCACACCTCTGATATAGTTCAATGTCTTGCTTTTCATAAGCACAACCAATGTTCGTATCTAAATTTTTTCACTGGCTCATGTGAATACACATATTTGTTTGTCAAATGATTTGGCATGATGTGATCCTGAATCATTTTACATAGGGCATCTTACAACCATTTGTCTTTGTTTCAGAAGATGGTCTTTCATTTATTTATTTTACTCCATTGACTCTTACAAAATATATAGAAAAGCACTTCAAAATCAAATTTTCGTTTTAAAAGATTAGTAACTATCTGATATTTCTTTTCTTATAATTATCTCTCCATGACCTGCATCTCTCAAACCCATGGCCATACTTTAATATTGGTTAATTCATTCATTTTAAAAAAAGGCTTCATATGCTGCTGTATCAAGATAATCGTTCAAAATACAAAGCTCAGCTTGATTGTCTTTGAAAGTACTTATAAAAAAATTTGGATTAAGCTTAGGTACTGGAATGTCAGGAAGACTAAGTAGAATATTTGATATAAGTGTTTGTTCAATTTATATACTCAAAAGTCAATGCTCAAACTATTTGGAATTTTACTGTAAATTTGCACAGAAAACTCTGCCTTTCAAGTAACTTTCATACTAAAAAACATTTGAAGCTGTACTTTTGCTGTCTCATGAATACAGTTTTATCGCCATGAAAATATTACAATGCAATTTTGCCATACTATCACATTGGTTATGTTAATTTCTATACAATTATAAATATTGTTTGGATCAATATCCAGATAAATTCAATATTTCCAAAGTAGATTAATATATTGGAAGATTCAGTAAGGTTGGAATTTGTTTATTGATCTTTTATCAAATGACATGATTCATAACAAATTTAGAAGAGTAGTATCATTATGTAGCAAAATCTTTTAAATAAGTATTATTTTTTGAATAATATTTTTTCAAAAAACAATTTTACTTGTGTGATTAGTGTGAACATGGTGATTTTATAAGTCTTTCAATTTACTTTCATTGAAATATCCATTCATTTACGCTCTACATTCTGGAAGATTACTGCTATATTTAAGTTCCAAGAATTGCGTAATGCACATACTAAAATGAGCATTCCTATTAAATTTATGCACATGCACATCACTGCCTGAATCGGATCAATCACTTTACACACATGACATAAATAACTAGATATAGATTTTGTCACCATTCGAAATGTTATTTATCAACACAAAGATTTGCTTCGATTTTCACTTCCCGAAACCATTCTAATCATTTCCATTTACTTTTCATGTGCAGTATATTTGTGTACTTTTGTATAGATCATAATAATATACTACTTTGCTTTTTACACAACACAATATCATGCTTTTTTCAAATTGCGGTTGACGAATATTTGATTATAAATGCTGCTTATTTGTATTGTTCATGTGTTTTTTTTTAGAATAGCTCATCTTTTATTTATATTTATTTCAAATGCAATAGTTGTGAAAATATTTATTTTTACAACGTCCCAAATATGTTATGGCTTACAGCATACATTAATTGCTTTGAGTTGTAACCATTAAACTGGCAAGTAACCTCTGCAGTTTGAATGTCCTGAATGTATAATGATATGTATTGTCTTTCTTTTCTTGGTTGGTTGCATTCTGAAAATTTTATAGGCTATTAAATCTTTTAACATAGTTTTCCAGATTGACTTCCATACTAAAGTATTCCTGCTTTGTCGATTTATTTGTGTTATTATCTGCATGTTTCGAGATCTTTAGATGGGAAAATTTGTCCGAATAACACATTACTAGGTGACCACTTTACAAGGTACTTTTGGAATTACTGTACATTCCAAAATTATTGAATCAAGATTTTAAATTATTGAATCATTGTCTTCACTATGTTTTATTTGATCCATATATTCAAGTGTTAGTGACTTGGCAATGGATGAATTTCTACTTATTATTCTACTAAAATTGGGAGACTTTGAAAAGTGGATTGCCTTTTGTTAATGGTATAACTCACCAAACAATATTAGTCACAGGACATAATAACTGGAAGATTGGTGGCTATTTTATTTGTATTGATTCATGAATGGCTTCTCAATCATGTATTTAATTTATTAAGGTATAATATTTGTAAAAATTTGAACAAACCAGAATTACTGAAAAACAATTTAATGTTCATCATTTCATGAGAATCTTCAATTGTCTTCATGCTTCCCACACGATTTTCATTTCTTTTCCAAGTCGTTTTTTACTTCAAATCATTATGTTGTATAATAATTGTAATATTCTTGTATTTATTCCTATTTCGCGTCATTAAAATTAATTCTTTCTGTCAAATACTTTTCCCATTTTCTACAAGGCAATGACATTCGAAGCTTGTTGTTATTGTCTAGATTTGAATTTTTAAGTCCGTATTATCTTTAAACTCATTGGTTCCTCGAGTAGTCGGAACTTACGCTTAAAACAGAATAGGTCTACTCAAGCCATTTCCGTGGTTTTTCAGGAATACACGATCGGAGTCGAAAAAGAAAACAGACGGAGCAGTACCAGTGACTCATTCTTGACGCTGTTATTATACCCGTTTCGTTTGTAAGTTTTTTTCTGTATCGTGCTAACGATTAGTTTACTTTCGACTTGTAGCAGATGGGGTAAATTTTCGAAAAAATAGGTTTATCATGTTTCATGGAGGCAGTGCTTGACTATACTGCAAACGAGGGTCCGTGTTCCGATGTATAGCAATCGAAGGGAAATGGAATGCGAAGCGTTCACACATTACATAATATGTTCTCTGGAATTAGACAAAGCAGGTTCCTTCACATCAATGGTCTCCATTCTAAAGATTCCGGGATAAATATGAAAACTATTCCAACTAGAATTCGATATTCCTTAATAGTCTAATTCAGGGTGGTCCAAACCCAGGCCCGCGGGACACATGTGGCCCGCCGCTTCATTATCTGTGACCCGCCTCGCATTCGGAGAGGAATCAAAAAAATCGCAATTCGAGTTGTTTCGTCATAAAATTAACCAAAAATCTTTTGACATATTGTTGCATCACTAATGACACTGAATTGACTAGTGTTTTATGGCTAGATGAAGCAACAAGCGAAGTTGAATAATGTGCATTTGTGTTGACATATTGTTGCATCACTAATGTCACTGAATTGACTAGTGTTATGGCTTGCTGAGGCATCTAGGGAAGTTCTTGGCACTATTGTGGCCCGCGAACAATGCAAAGGTAATTTTGTGGCCCGCGGAGCTGCCAATCTTGGACCACCCTGGTCTAATTGAATAATATCCAAACAGAACCTCTTTACAAGGTAAGGACACCCCAGTACTATTTAACGTATTTCAGTGGAGTAAACCCCAACTGAACTCCTTCAGTGGCCAATATAGGCACACAATAGACTATCATGCCAAATATTCGTATATTGTAAAGTTGCACAATCGAATTAGACCAAATAACGAAATACACTTAAAACCTTAGCGCAAGTATAAATGATGAAAACAAATCTCTAGCTAGCTGTGAACGATAAATTAAAGTCAAGCAACACCTGAGCGAAGGAAAGATACGTCATCAGCTTTTTCGCATAAAACGTTTCATAAATATATCATCAAGAAAATGAAATCGGGCAATAACCTTGTTTCAGTCCACCCCCGACTGAAATAAATAAGCTTGCTGTTATATGGACAAAAAAGAGTAAGGGTAAACATTCTTTAACAGTGGACACCGGTTTTCACGACTTCGCCTGGTCACCAGAAAGCAACCAACGCGAATGTTGAACCGCTACACAATAAAAACGAATCCAATAAAGCTTACAGAAATTTTTGGAATGAATAAATATAATAGCCTTCTGGTGACAAATATAAACTTCAACCTCTGAAAATTTTAAAGCCATTGATCCTGTAATTAAAGATTAAAGCGGTTTTTTCACAAAACACAAGAAAAGAATATTACCAGCAACAACAACAAAATGATCTATTTCGTGTCCAAAAAGGTTGAAAAATGTCAGAGGGAGATACAGTATATGGATAAAAAAAATCCGACAATTCCTAAAATTGAAATGTCACTATCATTTAGAACGCCAGGTACACGAAGACTTGAAGAAAACATCAGACTGCAGTTTACCAAATGTTACATTTTGATCGTAACAAGTCGTCATTGCACAACAATGATAGTTAACTCTGCAATAAAATTGGCTATCTTCGTGTAACATTCTATGCCCAAAGTCCTTTTCTCGGAACTTTGACAAGTGGATTTATTTTGAGCGTGGGCATCTCTGTTTATGCTTCATGATTTAAAGATACAATTCATCCTCCGGCCATTCTTGTTGTTGGTTTTTCACTACTACTTTAACCACTGGGCTTTGAACTAATTGCTTTGAAATTTCAATGAATAAAGATTGTTGTTTTCGCTAGGAGGTTATTACTTTTAATTATCCCAAAATTTTCTATGAAGCCCATGAGATCTGATATTTCTTCCACAATTTCGCTGTAATATTTTTCATTCATGGAAACACGGTTTTAATCGGCCAAGCGTGATGACTGTATTGCGTTTTGATTTTACAAAATATTGCGACGGGAAGGTCGGAAGTTTTTCGATATCAGTGACGCACTGTAGGTAGGTTACTGGGAAGTTTAAAGTACTGTTAATGATTTAATACTACAGTTGAGTGGGATCATTTTAATTCACGTAGGCACAAGACGCGTGAATCATCATTATCAGAGTGTCTGGTAACGCTTGGACTGTCCGGGTATCGTAACTAATAAGTTACGATGGTCCACAGTTTCAGCTCTGTCCATGATATGGTTTCGGGGGAAATTGTTGGTAACATTTTTAGTTTTTGCATTCGTGTTCAAATATTTGAGCATTGCTCTTTTGTTTTTACAAACTTTAGTAAGCAGTCGCATGTTGGTTTACAAAGACACCTGGTACAATGCAGCTACTCACGCCAATAACAACCAAATTTCAAAATTAGAATAAAATGACTGAAAATCTGTTTGAGGGACAAAAGTGTCTGCTAAAATTTTTATTGTTACGTCACTTCTGCATCTTACTGAATAGCATGGGTTACGCAAGTAAACAGTTCTCATCAATGCTTAGGACAAATTATGTTTTAGTATGAAAATCGTGATAGATGGGATTCGCATATTTATCTCTGGGAAGAGGACAGCCGATATGACGGCCTAATCATACGGCGAACCACGCCCTAACGTCCGGGTACCAGTCAATGTCGGATATGGGATTAGTTAGCCAGTTATTTGTTTTCAAATGCATGGACTTGGTGGTGGAGGAAGCCGTAACCGGTCAGCGGTTACGTGAACCACCCTACGACGGCGAGGACTCCATCAATCCTCTCGCACATAATTAACCCCGCATGGCAGAAATTTATGATATATATCATTTGGCAAGAACTCCGATGCATCAAGAGAAGCTAGTTTTACTATATCATGGAATATTTCTCGTGTTAAACACCCATACTCTGACTGTGATTTTGTGAAACAAAAATTTGCTGATGTTGTCGCAGTCTTGGATCCCAACAACACTAGGCGAGTAATGGCGCAAACGCCGGTTTCGCGTCGCACTACACAAAGGCGCATCTCTCAAATTAGTGTGACGAGGTCGGTTTGTCTTCTGGGTGTAGCTTGTTGGCGTGTGCTGTGGGGTTGGCAGGGTGCAGTGGTCTGAGTGTGGTTGTTTTCGGGTGGATGCTTGGTTTTCAGAGTATGCGGTAGTGCCTCTGGTCTTCGGGGGGTCATCGAGGATGGTTGTCTGTGGTTGTGTGACTGTTGGATGGGGATTTGTTAGACGTTGTTGTGCTGGACAGTGAGTGCAGTGTCATTGCAGTTCATTTAGTGTTGTATTTTTGGTTGTTGTCATGGAATTAGCTATCATCAGTACTGTTCAAATGTTGTGCACATATAGAATTGTTTATGGTCTTTTAAAATGCCTGCCATAAGTTATTTTCAGCCTGAATTGTAGGTTGCTTGTTTAGTGTACCGGATTCTAGGGGTCAAATGGGTTTTATTGAGAGTGTCTTTGATTTCAGGGCCGTCAGTGTTTTTATTGTGTATATGGTATTTCTTGCATTGTGCTGCCTGGTATTGTAATTTTTATTGTATGCTTTCCGTTGCTTTGAAGTATTTGGTTGTATAAAGATTGATAATTAATAAATAGAACAAAATAGTATACATTGATGTGTATATTGAGAGCAAACTTGACGTCAGGTCATATTGGAAGATATTCTGAACTTGGATAAGTAGTACATAGACTGCCGGTACGCTATATTAGTACTAATGTAACAGTTACAATGCAAAATAATTTAATGAGCTTTAATATTGATAACTTCAAAAATTATGCGGCTCTCCTGTATTTCTGACTTGCTGCATGCGGCTCTTACACTAAAATTTTTGCCCACCCCTGCAATAGGGGCTTACCTGGAAATAAATGTTAGCATTTGATTTAGATGAATCAAAACTCTGAAAACATCCAAGAGCTGAAAATTTACGCTTAGCCTCAACAGTCTCTTTCTGAACCTGTTTCTTCAAAACATGATATTTTTAACACTATGTAACGTATTACATTTCCGGATTATATCAAAAATAATCCCGGGATCGGGATTGAAAAAAAGTCGAACGATATAATATATTCTGCCAATTCACTCGAGATTCTTTCTTTTTTCTTAAATTTTCGTTAATTTGTTATTTAGTGTGAACATGTCGTTATAACGTCATTTCGATATGGGTTGTTCGCCATCTTCACAATCTTGCAGAATAACTGCCGGGAGTTTGTTACATGGAATTCCATAAGCAGAAATGAAGTCACCAACCGTTTTCATTGATAATTGATGTGTTTTCATGTTCTAGGTCAGTGATTCAATACCTTCGCGTACCTGCCGAACCCTTTCGTCATTCTGCAACCCTACCTCGAACCCTCACGATTTGAACAGTTAAATGAAATAATGGTCTAGAACAGGGTGGTCCAAGGTTGTGGGCTCCGCGGGCTACAAAATTATTTTGGCATTGGTCGCGGGCCGCAATAGTACCAAGGTGAACAGTGCAATACAGAGCAAGTCTCTTGTGCAAACACATAGATATCACATAGGCATTGCCAACCTAGGCTAATGTAATCCGCATCCGATGTTTAGTTTTCTATCATGCCTATAGAGCACTTGCACGGGTCAGTTGCAGTCACTAAAATTAAGATATCTATAAGCAAGGATAAGATAACCTGGGAAGTAACATTCCATAATTAAAATAAAAAATGTATCTGCCTCCACTGCCCTTTCAATTGGAAGATATGATGCATTGAGAGGTAATTTCTATCAAATATTTTACAGTGTTATGGTTCTTCTAGTGAAAATGGGTTTGGGCGGCTACTTTTAAAGTGTGGTAGGTCTAGTCGAAAGACACATTAAATGTTTATGCTAACAACTGCAAAGTGATATTGCAACGCATACATTTTAATAGAATTTGTTGAAATGGTCCTGCCTTTTGCCTTTCTTCAAAATCCACCTTTTTCTAACTATTTTTTTCTTCTCTGGAAATGGCGAAAATTCAAATATTGATGGGACATAGTCAGCTGATAATGGGTTATCTTTCCTTTTTCCTGAAAAGAAATTACACACTAATCATCATTTGACAAGTTTGTGTATCAGATCAGTAATAGATTACCTGCTAACTAACGAAACAATCAGACAACACCTTCTGACCATTGATGAGGATTTCTTTCAATTTAAAACGCAAATATGACTACCAATAACGGTAGTTTTTAGGATAGCCTGATAGTTTCACAGGTTCCTATCCCATGCGGGGATAGGTATTTGCGAGAGAATTGCAGCTCTCCTCCCACCGAGGGTGGTTCACACGACCGCTGGTCGGTTACGACCCCACCATCAAGTCCATGCTTCTGAAAACAAGTAACTGGCTAACTAATCCCGACATAGAATGGTAATCGTACGATGTTGCACCTGCAATCCTCCCCCTCTCAATTGAATTCTGGTTATTTTTTGCATGAGCACTGGCGTTAAACTTTAGTTATTCAACTTTTCACACTTACTAATAGATTACCTGCTAAATAGGGAAACATTACCGTACCTTATGGCAATTGATGATTAATTCCTTACGCAAGTCAAGTCTGCAAGTGGACAAGCAAGTAGGCCTACGCCTACCAATAACAGTAGTTTGTCATGTTACTTTTTAATTATGGGAACACGGTTTTTAATCCGCCAAGCGTGACGGCTGACTGTAAAGGTCTTGCGACTGGGAACGTGAAAGTATTTTGAGGGTACGGTATCGGTAACGGCAAGGGTAAAAACTGCTTCGCTCTGGTCCACGTATCCATATATTTGAGCGTTGCTCTCTTGTTATAGATACAAACATGGATTAAATATCTGTGACCCATTCACTTCTGATACGCGATAAAAATTTAATTTTTGACTCATTCATTAGAAAAGGTTCGCCATCCCTGTAATATTCCATCCGAAATTGCGCTGTGTTACTTTTTAATTATGGGAACACGGTTTTTAATCGGCCAAGCGTGACGGCTGACTGTAAAGGTCTTGCGACTGGGAACGTGAAAGTTTTTTGAGGGTACGGTACCGGTAACGTCAAGTGTAAGGACTGCTTCGCTCTGGTCCTCGTGTCCATAAATTTGAGCGTTGCTCTCTTGTTATAGATACAAGCATTGATCCACTCACTTTTGTTCCGCGATAAAAATTTAGTTTTTGACTCATTCATTGAAAAAGGTTCGCCATCTCTGGTATATAACGATATAATCAGCTCTATGATCATATCCATACATAATATGTTTCAACAGACGAGTTAGTGTACAGATGTTAAATTATTTTTGGTTGGAGATATCATGTTCGCGGCATCTACTGCCTCGTTGACCCTGAGCCATGCCCGTCCCTAATCCACTAACGGTTAATATAACATCCTGTTTTTTCTAGTATTAGGACGTTTTATTACAATTTTGATCTTTTAATGTAATACAAATATTACCAAATATAATTACACTGGCGGACAAAAAAAAATTCATGGTGCCTAAGATGTTTTAAACTTTTTTTAGCAAATTTGAGGGCGCTGATTCCAGAAATGCTGTTAATTTTTTCTATCAGGTCTAATTTTCCTTCTATGGCATATCCCTCTCTGCAGGATGCCGATGGCTACAATAAAGATAGACAAATTGAAGAAACAATATTTTTCTGTAATATCATTTAACATATTCACGGAATCGCACCAAAATATTCACAATTAAAGCTGGAAGTTGTAATAAATGCTAACCAATAGATGTCATCAGCGATAAATTGACGTTTTACTGATTTTTTAGAATGGAAGGCCCCGGCGTCATCGCGCTTGATAGACCAACAGTAGTCTGCAAGCATGGTGGAATCCCAACGACCTTGATAGCGAACTTCCATGTCGCTGATATCTTGATGGAAGCGCTCCTTTTGCTCATATCACCTAGATTTTTTGCAAAACGGGCAAGATGGCTGTGCAAAAAATGCAACTTGGTGGTCATATTTGCACCCAGTTGACGGAGACCTGTAAGTAGTGTTTCGAAAAGCTCTTTGTAGTTGGGCGCCTTTGTTTTTCTCAAAAAGAATTTTACTACATTTGTAAATGCCGTCCAAGCACTCAATTCTGTTGGATTCATAAAATTACAGAAAGTTGCGTCATTCAGAAATTTTGTGTAGCCAACTTGTAGCCCAAGAAGAAATCCAACCATTTTCAAATCGACACATATGATCCATTGGTGCTGTCTTGATGAATTTTTTTGTCCAGTGCAAATTTGATTTCATCATATTTTTCTTTGAGGGTTGTTGAATGACCTAGAGAGCATGTGTAGACTAAATTATATTATAACCTAACAAGTATATATTTCACAATTACTCGTTCAATTAGCCTATAATTTCATTATAATTAGACAAATGGCAACAAAACGCAAAAAAAGTTGATGCTGAGTGCAAAGGGTTCAATGGCGTCGAAAATATTCAAATGGAATTTTTTGAGATGCAATTCAATCAGAAAATAAATCTATATTCTAATCGAAAGATGTATCACTGCTTGATTTTTATTATAAATAGTATCATCCATATGTGCGGCCTGCCAATGACTTGCAACCCTTAATTTTGGCCCGCGAGCGACAAAAGGTTGCCGACCCTGACCTAGAGGAACTGATCCAAATAAGTTTCCATTAATAAGAAGAAGACATTTTAAATTTCTTTTGGAACTGTCTAAAGGCCCCAATCTTAAAATTCATACTGTTGGAAACCAAGCTGCCACAGCAGGCCGGCAACGTTGTTGGAATATACTATGGCAAGAATTCAATATGGCGTTTTCTATAGAATGTTATGAGAGTTCCCGGCCGAAGTAGATTTTTTCATTGAGTATTACCGATCACCGATATCTGAAACAGCTCCTTCAGCGGACAAAGCGGAGGTCAAGTCTTCTTCACAGCCAGGCAATTCCAATTCGGGCAAGCCTTCAAACACTGGAACAGGAATTTCATTGCAGTGTGGAATTGTCCTAATTGCAGACTCGAGATTTGGATAAACCAACAATTTCCTGTTCCTCCTATTGATTCCCTTACCAAGGCTTAGTGTTTACTGCACAGAAGTAGCAGTCATCAAAATGATTTTTCGGTTCCCGCCAGACCATTGGAATACTAAAGCGGAGTGACTTTCTATCCTTTTTTATCCACTATCGAAGATGTTCATTGCTCACATACAATATGGTGTACCCATACCTTATCTTGATCACCCAGCATTACTTTGAAGTAAGCAAGATAAGCACACTTTACAAATTTACTGATCCCTTTTCTGTTGAATTGCAATGTATATTCTCCGCAAATATAGAAAAATACATTTAGATTGTTTAAACAATGTCGACTATAAGAAGATGTAGCCATGCTTAATTTTTGCTCCAAAAATCTGCAACTCAAACAAAACAACGCAGCTTATTCATTTCTAGTCTGACTTAACAAAATATGCCGCAATCGGCAGGCTTATTTGCTACTGAGTGTCCGCTTCTTATAAACTACATAGCTCTTTAGTCGGTGCTCCCGAAGTATGCGAACCAAGATGGCGGACATCGGAACGTAACATGGGTAACAGGTTAGGGTTAGGCGATAATTTTTTTCCAATTTTCCTTATTTTAGTCCTATTATCAGTTCGAAGACTAGCCAAGAGTCTCCCGTAGTATGTATACCTAAAATTATGGCCTAACCCTAACCTAGTACACATATTACATTCCGATGTCCGTCATCTTGGTTCGCATACTTCGGGAGCCCCCCTTCAGTCTTTATATAGCAAATTTGACTTTTAATTTATGGTGTGTGATGTCATAATCGTTTGGCACACATCACAATAAAAACCTACACTTGTAATTATAACGCTAAAATGCATATAGTAATACCCCTAATTTTAAGGTATAAAATAGCAAATATTTCAACAATTTGACCTGATGAAAAAAAACTAGTATTTTTTGGACTCAGCACCACAAAACTAATCTAAATCCACTTAGAAACCCTGGACACCAAAAAATGTATTGACCAGTGTTATCTATGACTACAATTTTATAGTTCTCGCAAATTTGACGCTGATTATTACCTATTTTATTATTTATTATCCAATCTATCGCAACTACTTTAGGTATTTTCGCTAACAAAATTTTTTTTCTTTTCAATAATAGATGGTATTTTGAAGGTAAGTCAATCAATCAAATATCACAGTGAATTTTTTGTTGTGTAAAATACAAAATATGAGTCTATGTATTAGTTAATATAAGGTTGGTAAACATTTTTGTATTTTGCCATAATCAAACACCGCGATTTCTGGCGTCTGTAGAAACTATCATAAATCATTTAATAAAGGTGTACAGACCCTTCTTTGCATACGACGAAGTGACAAAAAAATTTACGATGCAATTAATTCAAGCATCCTGATAAACCGCTAGTAGTGAGTCCAGTAGCACGTCATTTAACCATCTGAATCACGGATATAAATTTCTATGTTCTGGGATACCTGTTCTTCAAGCTGGAATAATGTTGTCTGCAAATATAATGCGCAAAACAACCTGTGGAGGCAGTCCGTGTTCATATCATCATTACAAATGCTGTCATCTCAATTGTATATATTTTGAACATGATTTTGTAAAGATCGTCGCCGAATCACTTCGTGATATCAATATAATCAAACAATCAATATTTCAGTTGAAACGTCGTCTCCAAACTGCACGATTTCAAACATTTTTTTGACAATGCGTGACATAAATCTTTTCGTCTTACACGAAGTTTTACTTGCACGCAGTTTTACTTGAGAAATTCTGACAAGAAGTAACTTGTTTTAGCAAAAACTGGTACCCACAAATTGATATCGAGGCAAGTTGTTTGTTTTGCTACTCCGTTTCGTTTGTGTAGATTGCCCGAGGTAATTAAAACATCCCTAGTTGAGTAGGTAGGCTAACGGTTTCGGCTGAGCGTACAGTTTGTGTGAAACATTAAATGATAAAAACGAAATAAATTTGAGAAAGAATAAAAACCATCTAGTGCATTTAGCCATCCTAAAAAATTAAAAATCGATTGGTCTATTGGTTACGGGGAACAAAACTTATAGCAGTAAGAAGAATAACATCTAGCACAGTGGTACCCAAACTTTAAAAAAATATTACAAAACATTAAAAGATCACAACTAAAAATGAGATAGATGACAAAGTTTAATGACATGGGTGCACTTGTTTCGTTGTCAAACAGCATTCAAAAGCGAACTAGCATAACCTTTATAAACTGTCTAGTACCTACTGTAACTCTCTCCCATGCCGACAGACATGCAAAAAAGCAGCGACAGCTACACCTTTGCAGTTAGTTGTATTGTATTGGCAGCAATTGAACCCTCTCTGTGATATCACAGGCCCATAGCTCTGTGACATCACAATGGGGCAAGTGAAGAATCAGTGTCTCCACTCTCCAGCAGTAATTGCGAAGCAATAAAAGGCGACAAATGTGTATTTGCAAATTTAAGCACTTCATTTTTATACTATCTATATTATCAAGCTATGTGCCACATAACTAGACTTACCATAATTTCTTGGGCATAATCCGGGACAAACTCAAAACTATGAATGAAATAACTGGACGAAAGGCCGAAGGCCTGAGCTTGGCAAATTTATATTTATAAGATTTAATATTGCATTACTCCACAGAATCTCAAGTTCTAGATTACTCTCAGCATGATATGACTCAAACAAAACCAAATGAAAGTTATTATGCCTTCTCCAACTCCAAACATAATAAGGCTTCACGGACTCCAAAAAGTCCGCGAACCCCACTTTGGGAACCACTGATCTAGCATTAGGTTTTTGTAAAACGCTCTACATTTAGCCAACACTGCAATAACTCTCAGTAGTTTCTAGTACATGATCGCCCTAAAGTCAGTTTCATTCATTTCTGGAAAGTTCTGATTAAGCGTTTGTTACTTTCTTACAAGTTCTCACAAAACATCATTGCGCATTGGTGGTCTAAATCAGGGGTGTGCAAGTGCAACCTTTATTACAGGAGGGCCATATACATGAAACCGCGGGTCGCACCTTTATTTAAGATAGCTTTTCTAGTAGTTGCAAGCATAAAAATTTGTTTCTTTTTGTTATTGATCTTACGACATTGTTAGGGTGCTTGCACAAATGGTGAGTGGAAACGCATAGATATACAAAAAAGATTTCTACTCAAATTTATTGTCACACCGACTTTAAACAAATTCACGTTTTTATACCATTGTGTATTTTGCAACAGGATTTTGCCAGCTAGTGTTACTAACTTGACAGTGGCACTCAGGTACTAGTATAGACAGGCTTTGCGACGCAAAGAGATTAAAAGTGCTAGCACGTACCAGATTAACTAAACTAAAAACTCGTTTCGGGAGCACATCATTCAGATTTGGCACTTCTCCGCGGGCTGTACAATTTCTCCTTGCGGGCCGCAAGGCGGGCCACAGTTTGCACATTCCTGGTCTAAATGAAAGTGGGTCATTGTGCTGATGATATCGTTAACAACATAGGTCATTCCGTTCTCTTAGTAACATTTGCATAATACCTTAACAGCATCTGATTTTGATCAGGTATTGTCACCCCTACATAATTATAGAACGCGAATGTTACCAAACCTTCGGTGGTTGCAAGATGAAGATTCTAATTGTTGGTTTTTTGAAAACTGGGACCAAAAGTATGTGCCAAGCATTGAGAATTCTGGGCTACAATGTATCGGAACATGGAAGAAACTTTGAGGAGTTATATGAAGATTGGATGGAATTTCTGCAAGGCAAAGGAAACTTTGAAGATTTACGTAAAATGTTTAGAGGTTATGACGCTACAAGTGACACGTTAGTTTTAGCTTATTGGAAAGAGTTTCTTAAAGCATTTCCAGACATTAAGGTGAGTGGGGGTTTATATATGAAAATTTTTATTACATTGTGATAATGAGGTATTAGTCATGATTTTTGCACTATTAAAAACATGATGGATTATTTATATTCCAGTTGATTCTCACTATACGCGACGATAAATACGAATGTGCGAAGTCATTCATCAACCAATATACCAAGTACAATGAATCGGCATTTTCATTTCCACTTTCCGTCTTTTCATTGAAGGCTAGACGTTGGTGGGACCTGGAAAGGGACTCTGGTGAGATTTTAGTTAAACAAAATATCTTGAAGTCTGGCTGGGTTTACTGAGAGGACATTTCTGCGGGGGCGTATTTTCTAACTATCAGGAACTGGAGTAGGGATTTTGAATTCCCAGTAGTTTGAAGATCGGTAGGTCAAACTTAAGAAGATTTATTATAAACTAAAAGCATTAAACCACCCTAAAATTTACAATGGAAACACAGAATGACCAAATTTGTTTTTGAATAATGGAGACAGACACAGAGAATAATGTTGATCAAAACCGAGTCAGTTCTACAAATACCGTGTTTCCCCAAAAGTTAGATAGGGTCTGATTTCAATTTTCTTTGGAAAAATAACACTAGGGCTTATTTTGGGAGGTTGTTTTTTATTTTTATTTATCAAAAACAAAATTATAAAGTAGAGAATTGAAACGTGTAGGAAAGATTTCTTGCTAACGACAAGGTCAAAAAATTTCGCACTATCGAATCGGTCTTATTTAAGAGGAGGGCTTATATTAAAATCATTTTTGAAATTCAAGCTGGGTCTTAGTTTTAGGCTAGGTCTTTTTTTCGGGAAAATACGGTAGCTCGCAGTTTATAGTTGAATGAAACTTTCTAGCGACTCCATAATCGTTTTTGCTAGGTGGAAGTCAACGTCGAGTAAAGTTCAAATATAATTTTTGAAAATTTTGTATCAGACTTTGAAAAAGGGGCTGCCTATTAATAATAAAATGTGAAAGATATATCTTTTGTAGATGAAAAACCATTAAAGATTTGTTTTCGGGACTTATCATTCATTATTAATTGAAATTTAAAAATGTGTTATTAGAGCATGGAAAGTGTGCAGCATTTTATTTCAAGAAGTTCTCAGGTCACTAAATAAATTGATTTCAATGGTTTTATTTTATTTTCAGTTGCAAAGTTCTGCAAACCGCCTTTCGAGATAAAAGGATATGAAATATGTAAAAAAATTCCTATTCTGGACCAAGATCAGTATGCAAAATATTACGAAGACCACAATAACGATGTGCTAGAGGTAACTGTGATTTAATTTGCAGAATATATATATACGATATTCCCCAATTTGAGATATTGATGTCTCGTGTTCGATGTGTCGCGGACCATAGTGTCCGTGTTTATGTTGTGTGTATGTATATATTTTTATGTTTATAAACGGTTATGTTGACCCTTGTTTAATGCTGTTCTGTCGGATCTGGACTTCGACCACTCACACTACATGTGAAGAAAAAAACTGTCTTTCGATCTCTCTTCTCCGGTCGCTGCGCTGGCGGCCGGATGTATTTTCAGTTCTCTAGTGATGTAATCTGTTATGCTGTTGAAAGTTTGATATTGGAGTTGTCGTTCAATAAACAGCCAATCCGGAACCATTAGGTCTTCTGATTCATCTACAACCACGGTAGCAACATCTTCTACTGTGACAGATGTTCTACAATTAGTTTTCAACATATTTTTTCACAACTATGATATTTTTTGACAGAATGCACCTCGAGACCAATTGCTCATCTTCAATGTTAAAGAAGGGTGGGATCCGGTATGCCAGTTCTTGGGGCACGAATTACCAGATGTGCCGTTTCCACATGAGAATAAGAATGGATCGACAACGGCACACCGTCTAAAGCATGATTCGTATGTGGAAGAAATGTACACCGAAATGTATTTTACTCTCGCATTATTAGCTTTGGTCATTACCATTGTTGCTGCGTATTTGTGGTATTAATTTTCCATTTCTGCTTCCTGTATATATCGTTATCTCTCATATACCTCTTATTAGCATTGATCCTCTATTCCAGGGTGGTCCAAGGTTGTGGGCTCCGCGGGCCGCAATAGTACCAAGGTAAACAGTGCAATACAAAACAAGTACTTTTATTGTGCAAACACATAGTTATCACGTAGGCATTGCCAACCTAGGCTAATAAAATCCGCATCCGATGTTTAGTTTTCTATAATGCCTATATTGTTAGCATATATTCCCGACCAAAACGATAGGAATCCAGGTAACAATTTAGACTGCCCGCCCATCACATATTAACTTCGGTAGTTGCTTCAGCTAGCCATCATACTATAGTCAATTCAGTCACAGTGGTGATATAACAGCAATATGTCAAACGATTTTTCTGATTTATTTTATGAGAAGCAATTTAAAATACAATATTCTGATTACTCTCCGCGAGTGCGGCGCCGGCCACAGATAATGGAGCGGCGGGCCACATGTGGCCCGCGGGCCTGGGTTTGGACCACCCTGGGCTAGATACTGTGCAAAAAAATCTCAAATTTTTCATTTAAGTTGATCAAATGAAAACATGGAATAATTTTAGATTTTGAAGTGAAAACAGCCATTCGTTCATATGAACAAGGTGTCGTATTACCGTAACTCTAATACTGTATAGTAGAGTTGCCTCCAATTTGTTGTCAATTGTAAATGATTTATTTATTTTTTGTTCATATATATCATGCAGTTTAGGCCCTCGGAACCTCAAATATGTTCGTGTGCCTCCGAGTTGGAATTTACTAACCCAGAAAAAAAAATGTAGCTTAGATGAAATCAGTAGATCATGCTTTTTCTTTCAAAACAATATATAAATTTGTACCAGGAAAATGTGACAAGCGGTTTGTAATTCGGAATGATAGTTAGAACGCTTTACCAAAACAGCTTGCTTCAAGAATTTTACGCAAGCTCTGTTTTCCAATTTGCACTATGCCAAGATGGAGTGTCCCATAGTGCTGAAAAACGCTGTGACGTCCTCATTAAATCATTATTGCAAAGTATTGATAGTACGGGTTATCACTGGGAATGACGACAAATTATGGTATACTAAAAAGGGTACCCCCGAAGTATATGAACCAAGATGGCGGACACCGGAACGTTGTATGTGTACCAGGTAGGGTTTGGCCATAATTTCAGGTACAAATACTACAGGAGTCACTTGACTAGTCCCCGAACTCGTAATAGAACCAAAATAAGGAAAATTGGAATAATATCATGGCCTAACTCTAACCTGGTACACATACTACGTTCTGGTGTCCGCCACCTTGGTTCACACACTTCGAGAGTAAACCAAAAAGCACGAAATGTTAGACCATTTTCGTATATTAAGGATAATAGGCCTACTTGTTTCGTTCATGATTTCCTCGCATTGCATTATAATGTCGCTACACACAATGGGTTTAATAACAGTGTTATTGTAATCAAAATTTCAGCTTGATCGGAAATATAACATCAATGACTCACAATTCATTGATGTCCATATGTTTCCTGCACTGGATTAGGAAAGCGGTAATTGTTGCTTGCAGCGCTAACGATTTTGCGTGTAACTTTCATTGTTAGCTAAAGAGGAATATGCAATGCAGCTGAATTGTGAGTCAATAAATGCAGCTTCGAACCCAATTGTAAAATCCGACCTCGATGCTGTGACGTATCTAGGCTGCCATACCAGCCAATGTCTAGTCGTAAAATGTTTCGATAAAATAATGTCAACCTCGGAATGATTGAAACTCGTTAATAATAAGGTACAAATATCTAATTTTACAACAGTCGTTTAAAATTGTCAGTAAACGGCCAATGAAGCGCCTTTCTGAACTCTGCCACGGGCGCAGTTTTACGTAGATACTCCATTGCGCTCGATGCAATATTTTTTACGGCGATAAGTGCTCTACTATGGTAAGGCTTATGACACATTGCTTATGAGATTTTGACATGGAAATGGGTTGGTTATCTCCATAAAAAAAGTGAAAAAGTAAAGTATAAAAAAATCTGAATTTATTCATTATTCACTGAAATTTGGCCTTAATGGATTTCTGATGCTAAAGGCACTGAATCAGTGTGGATTTTTTTCCATTAATTGCGTATTTATCCTACATGTCCAAATAGTCTTGAAGGCCATAAGATATAGAATACACATCTGTGTTACATTACCGCTTGTACACTCACAGATCGCATGAAGAAGTTGAAATGAATATTAAAATCATGTCTCGACACACGACTGAATCGGTAATTGCTTTTAATGGGTTTAAAATACATTAACAGCCATCAAAACAGCTCAGTCATGTGGCCAACTACGACCTTTTGCCGATTTCCTGTGTAATCCAGAAGTGGGTTAGCCATATAAAATTATAGCAATGCAAGAATCAGGTCATATATATGCGCAAAGCATGGTGGAGCTTGAAAAATATTTTGTAAGAAATCCAAAGCAATTTGATTGCCACCAGCAAATCAGTAGTACAGTGTTTTGGCGAGAATCTAACTCTATCTACATTTAGATTACGGCTATATTAGCTAGATCAGGGTGGTCCAAACCCAGGCCCGCGGGCCACATGTGGCCCGCCGCTTTATTATCTGTGGCCCGCGTTACATTCGGAGAGTAATCAAAAAATCGCGTTTCGTGTTGTTTCGTAATAAAATTAATCAGAAAAATCTTTTGTCATATTGTCATCACTATTGTCACTGATTTGAATAGTGTTATGGATAGCTGGGGAAACTAGCGAAAATGAATGATGTGCTTGGCGGTCTAAATTGTTATCTGGCTTTTTAACTTTTTGGTCGGGAATATATGGAAACAATATAGGCATCATAGAAAACTAAAAATCGAATGCGGATTCTATTAGCCTAGAATGGCTACGCCTGATAACTATGTGTTTGCACAATAAAGGTGTTTGTTTTGTATTGCACTGTTTACCTATTCTTGGCACTACTGTGGCCCACGAACAATGCAAAAATAATTTTGTGGCCCGCGGAGCCGACAACCTTGGACCACCCTGATCTAGCCTATGTAAGTAGTTTTCATATTATATTACTACTTAGCACGATGATGATGATCCATCATAGCGCAACTGTGACGTCACACAAGTTCTTTACGCAATTATCCGGGGTGCCGGATACATAAAAACTAGCGAGATACTTGTGGCAGGTTTTGCTTTTAATTTAAACGCTGTTAATTAATTGCGATTCTAGTAATGAAATGACGTAAAAACTGGCGCGCAAAGATCTCGACCATGTGGTTCGTTCTAGCGTGCATTCATTTGCATTATGGAGAATTGTGTTCACGCAACTTCCCATTTTGCATTTGATAGAAGCATTGGTTAGTCTTATGTGTGATTAATACGTTTATTCGCTTCTATTTCTCCCCAAAGATAAAAAGTGCATACTGTAGAAGACCTCTGATTTCTGCAAACGACCAATAAAATACAAGATGAATTAATTAAATTTTATATTTTCCCATTCTATTTTCGTTAATTGGGAATCCATTAATCATGATGAGGCTTTAGAAAAATTTCTCGATAGTACCTGATGCTCTAACTCTAAAAATAATTGCAAAAGAATCATAGTCTTTATTAAGATATAGGAATAAAAGACATTTTTCACAAGGGCGCCAGGTGTTTGAAAAACGTTAAGATCATCAGTGATTGAGCACCGATCTATTCACGGTAAGTAGCTGAAACAAATATGATGGGTTTGTAATTATTTTGTATATTTTAGACATTATTGAAAAGGAATATATATATATATATCTATGTTTGTCATGATATATATATATATATACAATGATTGATTCTTCGTTAGGGTTCGGGTATGATCGTTTGAAAATAGAAAAATAAAATACTATGTAGTCTAGTCTCATTTGGGCGTATTCGTCAGGACTGTCGCCCGTAGTAGAAGTCTTAACTTATAAAAATTCACCGCCCTCCATAGACATCACATATGACTGTAATCTAAGGATAAAGCAATATCCTGTTATCGCGATGCCATACGCTGTCGGAGATCTGCGTTCCCGCGTCTTGTAACATGAGTGCCGGAAACAGCGACGCCAGCAGTGAATGGAAACGTGCTATTATTAAACCCATTTTAACCTTAGATGGGCCAGGGCCGTTGCAGCTTGTTTTTTTTTTGTCCGCGTAAGGCCGAGCATGTTATTACGCATTTTTTCTAATTTGCATGTTGGATATCAAGAGAAAAAATTGTATTTTAGAGTGTAATCATTTTTCTTGAGCGTATTCATGAGCAAGAGCTTTTTACGAGTTGGATGTATGTCATATAGTTAAAATAGCGAGTTGGATTGTTTTATATGATGTGAAATTGTTCGAAAGTATGAATGCCAGATAGTTTGAATATTCGTCATATGCGAGACAATGAGGAAGACGTTACAGCTAACGTATGCAACTTATATGACGCAAAACTGGAATTGTTTCGAAAACAAAATAATTATATAAAGTCTCCATAATATTATGACGAGTTTACGTAAACTTTTTCCATATGCGAGGCAAGTGCGTTCAGCAAGTAGCCACCAAGATGAATCTGCACAAGAAATTGCTCATTCACTGAAAAATATTTTATTTATTTTCACACATGAACAAACAGTAGGTGTCATCACAAAAACACTGCAATTAGGAAAGGAGCTTCATTTCTATCTTTGTATACCGTGCAGCTAACATTTCTATCGTGTCATTTATTAGCTACATCAGCGTGCGATTCATTTCACCTCGCCTAACCAACATAGAACCAATAACAGAAGTTCAGGAAAAATCTGGTTATTGAAACGAGGTAAAATAAACAATGATCGTTTCAGAAGTTGAATCCGTGTCATGAATTTCCGTTTTGAAGCTAAAATAATTTCCGGCAGTCCCTAACCACGTGTTCTCTTCGTGTTGAAGAATCCGCGTTGGCGTTATGCACAGCGTAACAATGATTAGGCGGCAACTTTGAGCGTTCAATCAAACGAATGTATAACAAAAATTGATCGTGGTGGCATATATTATAACGCCTGTTTTTGACATGTTCGTGACCGCCGGAAAAGGCATCATAATATATAGTTATAGTGTACATAACCGCACTGTTGTAATATTTTATTTTCGAAACTCACATATTTCCAGCCTAATATAAAATCGAAGAATTTTTAGTGAGGCTTCCTAAGCGAGACACAAAACATCTCCGAAATGGCAGAATTTAAACATGGATTATGCGGTTGCTTTGATAACTGTGGATTGTGTCTGATTACCTATTTTGTCCCTTGTTATACCTTTGGAAAAACGGCTGAAGCAGTAGGTGAAGGATGCTTTCTATGTGGGGTTGCTTGGTTGTTTACTGGATGTATTGCCGGGGGAATAATTCGTGGAAAAGTACGAGAACAAAAAGGAATCGAAGGAAGCGGGTTAGGAGACTTTCTCGTCCATTGCTTCTGTCCATTCTGTGCAATTATTCAAGATAATCAAGAAGTTTGTGGCAGCTCATTGGGAGAATCAATGGCGCGTGTATAAGCATACCCACAAAAACGAAAATGTCTAAGATAATTGTTGCTTACAATTTGTGCCATAAATTTTTCAAATCGTCAAGAGGAATGTAATCGACAGGCTGAAATACTTGTGTCAAACGTTTTTACTAAATTACTGGATTTTCTACGTGTATTATATCTTTTGTGACAATGAATGGCACTGAAAGAAATAGTATCAAGAAACGAGGGCACCCAAAATTGGAAGAGCTGAGAGCTTCTTTGGAGTACAAATTTTTTTCGTTAATATTGTCAATATTGCTTATGCAAATTTTTATTTGATGCAATACGCACGTTTGCGCGAATCGCATGACACATTTCCTATTTTATGTATTCATGTATATGGATCTATATCAAAGATTTATACATCTACCATCTTTTACATTCTTGAAAATATCTGCTTGATTGCTACTTCATACTCATAGTAATATATCACGTAAAGTAAATTTTTATGTCAATTTTATGAACTCTTTTCCAAACTAAGTTAATTGTTTCTCATTTTACATTCGAGCAAAGCATACATGCGTGCTATGCATAGACATGAATACGTTAGAGTGACTCTGATAATTTCCGCAGGTATGATTTATTCTATTAGTATAGTCAATATTGACACAACAAAAATAAACAGTAATATTTATATAATGAGTGTTATAATGAAGCTGGGTCGAATTAGAGATAAATGTCTTGCGATGATATTTTTAATCGTAAATCACATCATTGTTTCTTTTAAAAGCAATCTTGTTTACCAAATGTATATTTATCATAATTAAAATTTAAGGCAAAATAAAGGGTCATTATTGGTACAATCTTTCCAACTAAAAACCTTTTGAACTTTTTCCAGACTTTTTCTAAAAGTTCACATGGGTATTTCCGCTTCCCCATGGTATATTTCACTAAAATATATATATATTCACAAATGCTTATTCGGAGAATAAAGTAATTATACAGAGGAAAATCTTTTCATATTATGCAGTTATATACAGCCGGGATAAATGCATATACGTTACCCCGAACCTGGATGATTCCAGACGTCCTAAACGAGTTAAGTAGCTTCGTACATGTACTGTCTAGAGTCCTAGACAGGGTTTTCAAAAGGAAAAAGATGCATTTACAATAAATGCGTTCAAAAATTATTATCTTTTTTAAATAGAAACCATGGCGGGTAATAATTTATGCTGCCACAAACCAAGGTATGTAGTAATTCAGTGAAAGATTAAAAATTCATCTTCTTCGTAGCAATTAATAGAAGAGTTCAAGTCGTGTTGTTTGGGTCTGGTGTCTATGCTCTGTAATTTCGAACGATAAGTTAATAAAAAAATTTTTTTGCTCAAATCTTGATTAACTTGCCCTTAGAGTACGGAAATGACCATGGCAAGAAACGCCGTGGTTTGTTCGTGGCAGGAGCTGCCATGAAGTGGTCATAACTGCGACTCCAAAGCAACTTCAAAAGTTTAATAATTTGAACAAAACGATGCTATTAATGGTTTCATTGTTGGGGTTGTTGATGTCGATATTTTGTCACCTGATAGACGAATCGATTCCAGTACTTGCAGAACTTGCGAAATATTCTCACTAAGTTGCTACGTGTCATTTCACCCGACTTGTCCGCAAAACCCAAAACAACTAAGTCCTTACCGGAACCAATTTGAGATGATAAAGAGATTGAACAATGGGGTTAGGTCATTTCAACCTCTTTTAGTTATTTGACCTTCGTGGTCACGTAATTGAGCATTGCTCTATTATAAAATATATTATTTATACGATGGTCTGAGTCTGAGTGACTCAAGTAACTACTAACTACGCTATCATCAAGAGCTCTGCACCGAATGTCATACAAACAACTCAGTATATAATTAGTTTTCTATAACAGTACATCTCTTCGTATAATGGCATTGGTTAAATCCGCGTTGTAGTCAATTATCTGATAAACTGTATGATGCTCAACTCTCAAGAAATCGTTTCCATTAAAAAATTAAACCTCATTTATATTATCCCACTACACAGTACTAAAAAATTCTGGAATGAAAATTGGTACTCCCGTAGTCTCGTATGTACCAGGTTAAGGTTAGGCCATAATTAGTTACCTCCATATTGGTACATACACTTCTAGAGCGACTGGAATTAAATTTCTTCTTGCAGGAAACAACAAACGATGACGCCATCGAAATTTTGAATGATGTTTTCACACATGTGATAATGTGTCACGTAAATTTCCAAGATAGTTCATAAATCCACATATAGCATGATGCTCAATATATCTTTATCATCGTTTGCAGCACCGCCCTAGAGTTTGTCATAACCGTGGCAGGCCGTATAATCTGCGAAGGAATCACTATGTATCTAGATATATATATAAGTATAATATCACAAGTGCAGTTATGTTAGGTATGTTAGTTAGTTTTTTGTATAAAGTAAATAACGATATAATATGTAAGCATTTTGTATTCAAAAGTTTAGTCCGCATTTATAGTTATATACCGGTAATCATTATAAATGATGATACATATAATTTTTAAAACATTTTACACTTAAATGCAAGTTTATTTACATACTTTTATAACATTTTGTGTCATAATTTCAACCCGCCAAATAAAATTATGGATAGGCGAGTAAGGGCCACTTCAATGAATTGAGTACCTCTTTCCCGAGTAGTAGCTACAGCTAGTTACAAATGGAGACAATCAGGCGATATTGAACGTTGTAAGTAGACAGGAATGCTTAGGTGCAGTGAAGTTCTGATCTTAAATTTATGGTTAAATCGAAATGAAGGATGTGAAAATGAAAATCGTATTTGAAGATAGAGAGTGACTAAGTTTTATCTAAAAAATTAATGAATGTATGAAAGACAACAGATGTGCGTTACATTACTCATATTTCCATCTTTTTAAATTTAATCTTGCTTCATAAACGTAATTTGACGAAAAAGACTTTCAGACTTAAAGTGCCACCATCTGACCGTTTCAATTCCCTGCAAAATAGAAAGCAAATTCTGGGCTTGGTATGAATATTTCCTCAGTATCTCCATCCGAGCAGTATTATCATAAAAACTCTATTCAAGAGAACTACCCCGACTCCCGTTTGACGGAATTTTCAATTTGTGCCCCAATTCCACGTGAAAAGTTGAAAAAAAAAAGGATTTTTAATTGGACGTATCGACTTTCGACTCCTAGATCAATACAATTTTCGAACTCTTCCCCATACTCCCTTATGCTCTGGGTTCGAACAGATCTCAACGATATATATCGACTGCAGGGTGACGCTAGCAATACACTCACGTTCAGTAAATACTTTCATATTCGTTCCGACGAAGAAGAAGGCCAATAACATGCATGGCTTGTTCATATGGCGAGCCGTGGTTCCGGTATACCTCTGATTTAGGAATTATATCTTTACCTACGTCTTGGTGCATACACTTCGATGGTAGAGGAAGTCGCAGTTCTTACTACGTGAACCTTTCTACAGTGACGAGAAATCCTGCAATCTTTTCGCACATAATTATCCCCGACTGATTTCGAATTTTGAAACCCACGTCCGGTAATCTTCGGCACAATGCCAAGTACGTTCCTGAATCTTAGCACAATGCGCCAACCGCTGAGTTGAAGTTTAGTTCAAGCACCTCAGTCTGCAACATTGGGCTTCTCGACCAAATAGGTAGCCATCATACCAAGAAAGATATTCTCAAGTGAAGGAACATGTTTTTTTTGGTTAAAGTCGAAACGGCCATCAGAAACGCGGTCACTACAACAGATTAAATTGCGGCCATTGTGAGGCCTAATCATCCAATAAAACTATAAATACGTAGCAGAAAAAGTCATAAATTCATAAAGTAATGTATGAATGTGAATATTTGGCAAAGTATTACAGCTTGTTGTGTAAGCATATGTGATATTGGAATACAACTATTGATTACTTCCTTTGAAAGCCTCTCTCTTTACGATACAAATTTCCTGAATAATTTCAAATAGGCGAAAACGAAATTACAACATAGTTGAACTATTAATACGACTTTTCACGATGCTATGTAACACGTACTCGAATGAACCGGGAAGACTTACTTATTCCCACTAAGAAATTCAATTATTTTATATGCGAGTTTACTACCAGATATAACGGGTGCTATTGTTAATTTTGTGAAGTCTACCAAGAGAGTACTATAGGCATATAAAAAGCTTGATTTAAATTGTCTGGCGCAAAAGGCTTAAATTGTTGAAAGCGCCATATACTTTTGATACTACACACACACACGTTGTGAAAAGCCTTTGGCAAATTTACGCAACCAGTTCATATCTTTAGTGAAGAGAATTTTACAGAGTAGGAGACTTTGAGAAAAACTATTAATATAAAAAATTGCCGCCAACAAGAAATTTATTAATGGATTGAAAATTTTTATCCAATCTAGTGCAGCAGCTGAATATCTTTTCATGATACCAAAAGAATGTTTAAAATAAATAATCGTATTTATTGCTTAGAGAAATCTTTTCAATACTTGATAATCCAAAAACCTTCCAAAGCAATCTGGCTTTACGTCACTTTGATATAAAGATTACCGGATACAACTCGTTGCTTTCCGTTCAGTTAAGATCAACCTTTATCGTTTGGGCGTGAGTTTTACAATGCCCACACACACAATGCTTGAAAATGAAATTGAATTGCCGTGTAAAATATATTGCACTTGGAAGACACTCATATTGTATAAGAAAAAATTGGTCTATACTGATTTTATTACTGCGTTCACTGAGAAATGAAATCATGTATTATGTGTGGCGCGGGTGTTTAATTGCAAGCAAAAATGTCTCACTATGAATCAGAAAGACAGCGGAAATAGCGTAGGATCATGCCTCATCCGGCTATTCTGCATTTATGATAGCTATAACAATAAAGAGGGCGTTTGATCACCTGCCAATAAGTTTATACCGAACATACTACTTCTTAGGGAGATAACATTCGATCAACCTGACTAAGCATTTAGACTGTAAGAATGCTCTGCGTATAACTTGTAAATATAGTTATTATCAAGACCGAATAGTAAGACATGCCTAAGTGTCGTCATGCAGCTCATGTACAAAGTCGCACGTTTGGAGCTACAAAATGTTCCTCATGTATTTTCAATATGGTTTGGATTTTATCTAGACGTTGTCATTTTACATACTAGGTAATTCCTCTACCTCTTCATTTTGTGAGTGCTAGTAAGTTTAATTGAATAAAAAATGCATAGGTCTATTTGTATGTAAAATCTAGTACGCAACCTGGATTTTTTGTAGTTAGATATATATTGTGAATATTTGGCGCTCCAGAAGTATGTGTACCAATATGGAGGTAACTAATTTTGTTCGCCTACTTAATATCAAGCTGTGACTTGGGACGGAAGACTATGGGTAGGGATTATATTCACTTGGCTAACACAGACAGTCCCCGAACTCGTAATAGAACTAAAATAATGAAAATTGGAATAAAATTATGGCTTAACCCTAACCTGGTACACATACTACGGGAGTACCGAATATTTTGCTCATCTAGCGAAAACTCGATTTTTTTTAATGTTTTATAGTGAGAAATTCGAATAAATGATTTTATTTAGCAAAAATGATCATGAAGTGTCAAAGCCTTACTTAAGCGATGTTCTTTAACGCATCTTTTAATTTCTATTCTCCGACATCTATGACAGGGGATCAACGTCGTATTCTTGCGAATCTGAAAATATAAAGACTTTATCCATAATGTCAAATCATGTTTGTTGGCATAAACAGCTCAATAGTGAGTGCGACGCGGAAGCATATCGAAATAGGAAAGTTCATTCCATACGAGGCATGTTGCATATTAAATTGATATCGGAATGTCATCGCCTATGTTTTTTCTGAAACTCATATCAGTTTCGGTATTTATCTAACTTTGGATTTCAGTTATGGTATTTATCTTACTTCGGATTTCCGTTATGGTATTTATCTAACTTTAGATTTCAGTTATGGTATTTATCTATAACTTTGGAATTCACATCTATTTCAAATTTGTTAGGTTTAGCTTCCTGTTTAATTTGGATGCATAATTCACGGGTAATAAATTGTGAATTACAATTAAATGATTCATTTTTTATGCACAATCGCATTGTTTACTAACGAAAGTATATCCATTCGGTTTTATAAATTTTTTGAGTCCGATACCAAGAACACTGCATATGGGATACTTTATTTTCTGCTTACTGAAGTTTTGGATGAGTAAATAGAGTTTCTTCCAAATAGGAAAGTTCAAATTTAACATAATATGGTTATTGACTCCTGGTACCAAAAATTCCTTACAAAGTTATGATCACAGATAATGATTCTAGGTAGATGGGTGAATACTGTACCGACTCAATATAATTTTAAAAGCAGTTTTCATTGGCTATGATTTGAGTAGGTAGACGACCAAAAATAAGTACCGATCTAGTCTCAATATGCGGCACCACTGATATTCCTTTTAAGTTTAGTTTAAATGAGTACAAATACGGTTGATATTTTCCTTCGATATTCACCTGGCCTTCAATTACTTACTGCACTGGAGCATATTTGCATGTTCGTGATTTGAAAACAATCAAATAATAGGCAATAATGCATAATTAGCAAAGTAAATGAATTTAGCTTAAGAAAATTGCGTTCCTTCTTGAGAAATACAATAGAGATGAAAAGCCCCCCGTGAGTGTCGTTCACGTCACGGTAAAATTTCCTTTCAATTGGGCGCGCCTTTTCTTTTGTATTTGAAAAAATGCCGATTCGTTTCCTTGTGAAAAAAAAAGTAAAAATATTTGAATTTTAGTTTAGTGATACTAGTTTATCAAGGATGATCTATAGATGCACAGTACAATACATTAACACATCACGCGTGATGAATGAAATTCAAGCGAATTCACGCATAGGACCGGAATTGTCTCAGTATTTTTATGCGGTCATCCGTAACGGAGTTTATCCTCACTTTTTCAAACCCACGCCGTTTGTATTTAGCCACTTCCTTATACTAACAATTGATATGATGGTTGTTAGCCTCAATATTAAGTTGCTATGCGAAGCGTTTCGAAAGAGTTTGTATCACTATTGTCGTTAGGAAAAGTGTTGGAGTATACGTCTTAATTTATTGAAAAGTTTTTCATTATTATGTGCGACATGGAAGTGGTATATAACATTTTGACACCAATAAAAGGAAGTTTATGTTACCATAGGACATAAATCAATAGCCAGGTTTCAAAACATGTTGGTCTAATAAGTTAGTTCAGTATATCTAATAATTGATTTTGCGTTTTACTAATATAGCACGGAATCAAGTATAGTTGAAAAGGCAATTGAAAATGCGTATCTATTGAATATCTAAACTTGATTTTTCAACTGTTTATAGATGTAGAACAAATATTAGGACTGCATAAAAAGAATTTAACTGGATTTCAAAAATTTCCTTTACTTAAATTGCAAGTAACGATCAATAATTTTTTAAAAATTTCAGAATCTGTTGACCTGCACAGAAAGTTGTTCATGAAATAATATCAGTGAAATTAGTTTGCCGTTTGTTTCGCAGATTGAATACAAATTAATTATTGTATCTGGTGTACAGTTGACTAATTTAATTTAAATTCTATCAAGTATATAGAAAAATATCAAAATGTCAGTTGATGTTTTATACAGGTTGGATTAGGATTAGATAAATATTTAGAAAGAAACTTATTCGGTGGTCGATAAACAACCGAGGTATCTCTTAATTCTATTGTAAATTTTAAACATTACCATTGCGTTGTCAGAGTTGTCGAAAATAAAATACAAGCTATACGTTTTTTCCATATAAAATGTTTTGTATTTTTCTTTTTAGGTGCGTTGAAATCTCAGCGAATAAACATAATCATGCTTCCATAATCTGTAAAGCGTAAACTAAAATTTATCATTTGACATGATTATGGTCGTGGTTTTATCCCAAACACTTTATGTTTAAAACTTGATGATTGTGTTCTAAACATGAATATTAAGTGTGGTCAAAAAGAATTTATATATTTTCAAGAAACTTGAACGGTAGATTGTCATTTCAGTTTTTCGTATTATTACGATTCTAAGTTTTGTACATGGTTTTTCGTTTAAAGGACTGGAATCGCAGTTCGACATATTGCCCATGTCTTCAAGTCAATAATTTGGATTCGGGTATTGCTAGACTGTGATGGCTTGCACATTTGAAATAAGTGGTAAAATTTTTGTGACTGAATCTTTCATTATTTGAGGTGAATACCAACATAATATTCTCCGAAACAACCACAATATTTTCAGCACCGTGTATTATTTGTATTATTAACTAAGGAATCTATGATTGATATTCAATTATGCTGTCTCGTTGTAAGAAAGTCAATTTTTGATACGGATAGTTATTAATAGTGAACTGCTTAAATTGCTTTGTGTATCCGGCTCATTCGGGTTCAAAATGATTTATTTTAATAATTTTATATTTTGCCTACATTACATTGCTGGATATATAATTATATATGCTGCATTGAATTCAATTCTAATACTAAACGTAGTTTATTGAGCTGAGTTCATCTGAGTTCGTACTTATTTCCCACATGAACATAATACCAAATTTAGGATTCCTATTACTTGTGTCACTACATAAGATTCACGTGATAATGTTTATTCTGGCCTCAGCACAAGCCACATTTATGGAAATAATTTAAATTGAATTAGTTGAATACCGAAGCATATAGTCGTATGATGAAGATCAGCATTTTGGCAAGTAAGGGAAAACCAGATACCGATTAATACTTAATTAAGCGAACATATCCTTACCGCGTTGTGGCCCTTTTGCACTAACGTATTATTTGTATCGTTAATCTAATGAGTAAAGTAATAGTTAGTATATAAATACTAAGAGGGTCACATAGCAATATTATTTGTACAACATTTTATTTTATTTTGCAATTGAACCGCTAGAGCATACAGGTAATGCTAGTTGTCAGAAAAGATTTTGCTATTTATTGTGTGGATACAAGTATAACTGGAAATTTGGATAGATGGAGCCTGAATTGTAGCGGAATGCAAAGTCCATATGCTCGAAATTAGAATCACAGTATCGCGCTTACCGGTCATTCAAAATATCTATCATATAATGA